AAGCCTCCCCCTGGAGATAGGTCTTCAGCGATGTCCTCAAGTCAAAAGAGCTGCAGATGCAGTTGTAGCAGAAGCCAAGAAACCGCGCCTTGACAATGAAGAATGCATACGTCTTGATAGAGAGAGACTGGCTGCTCGTTTGGAGGGCCATAAGGAAGGGGTCGTACAGACTGAGCGGATTAGGTCTTTGTCCGAAGACATGACGGTGGAAAAAATTGCTGCAATCAAAGCCAAAATTATGGCTAAGAAACGATCTACGATCAAGACCGACCTGGATGAAGGTACCACTGACCTTAAGCGGAGGAGCTTTGTAGATGCTGAGGCAGATGTGACCCGAGAGATCGTCAGCAGGGAGAGAGTGTGGAGGACACGCAACACGATCTTACAGAGCACAGGAAAGACTTTTGCAAAGGATATCTTTGCAATTCTTCAGGCTGTGGAGGACCGAGAAGAAGGGCGGGCACCTGAACGGCGACCAGCTCCAAATGCAGCCCCAGTGGATCCCACAGTGCGTTTGAAACAGCCTATCCCGGCCGCCTACGACAGATATGATCAGGAGAAGTTCAAAGGAAAAGAAACGGAACGCTTCAAAATCGACACTAGGGGCACCTACCGCGGTATGCCACTGAAACTGTTAGCGGAGAGTGCATCTGCCCGCAGAACACAGACACCTGCAGCACAGCCAGTACCAAGACCGCTTTCACAAGCAAGACCTCCCACGAAGCACAAGAAAACTTCTCGAACTCCCATCATCATCATTCCTGCAGCTACCACGTCTTTGATAACCATGCTGAATGTCACAGACCTTCTACAGGATTTCCAATTTGTCTCATCAGATGAAAAGAAGAAGCAGGGTTGTCGGCGAGAAGATGAAATTCTAATACAGAGAAGAAAAGAGCAAATGCAACCAGGTGGCACTGCTTACAGCAGTGTCACAGTCCCTTATAAGGTACTGGATCAGCCGCTTAAACTTAGGCCTCAAGATTGGGACCGGGTTGTGGCAGTGTTTGTGCAAGGTCCCGCTTGGCAGTTCAAAGGCTGGCCGTGGCTTTTGCCTGATGGATCACCGGTCGACATATTTGCCAAAATCAAAGCCTTCCATCTCAAGTATGAAGAAACTCGTCTGGATCCAAATGTTCAGAAATGGGACGTGACCGTGCTAGAACTCAGCCACCATAAACGTCATTTGGATAGACTCGTTTTCTTGAGGTTCTGGGACACACTGGATCGATACATGGGGAGCCATAAATCTCACTTGAGATTCTGAATGACTTGGTTCCCTCTTTTCTGGAAATCTGGATTAAGAAACCCGGATATACGTTGACACAAAGACTGAGACTCAAGCTTGATGAATTTATCAGGAATCTGGCAAATGAAGAAGCTCACACATCGATATTTCTATAGAAGCAAACTTTTAGCTTCCAGCTCTTTTGTAAATATTAGCTTTCTAGTCCGTAGTGGAAATTGCATATTTTGATAGAAGTTTTCTGTTTTGGTTTGTTTGTTTGTTTGTTGTGTATTCCTCATTGGTTATATTAGCTTTACTTAAGAGTTGTTTCTTTAGAAAGTAGATGCCGGAATATAAAAGGTTGTATATTTATAGATTATAATAAAGCTTTCAAAACCATCTTGCTTCTGATGTCTTTTATTCTTCTTCTTCAAAGAGTAGCTATCTCAGTGGAGACAAGTCTCCAATGTGTTCCTCCATTTTTGTTATTTTTTTTTTTTTATTGCAAAGGGAGATATGCAGAGAGGTGAAGAGACAGAGAGGAAAATCTTCTGTCCATTGATTCACTCCCCAAGCGGCCCCAATGACCGGAGTTAAGCTGACCTGAAACCAGGAGACTGGAGCCTCTTCCAGGTCTCCCATGTGGATGCAAGGTCCCAAAGCTTTGAGCCATCCTTGACTGCTTTCCTAGGCCACAGGCAGGGAGCTGGCTGGGAAGCGGCGCTGCTGGGACATGATCCGGTTCCCCCTGGTGGTTCTAGCACATGCAAGGTGAGGTCATTAGCCACTTTTGATTTCTTGTTTTTCTATTAATTTTTTTTAAAGATTGATTGATTTATTTACTTTTTATTGGAAAGTCAGATATACAGAGAGGAGAGACAGAGAGGAAGATCTTCTGTCCGATGATTCACTCCCCAAGTGAGCGCAACAGCTGATGCTATCCTGATCCGAAGCCAGGGGAATCTTCCAGTTCTCCAGCACGGGTGCAGGGACCCAAAGTTTTGGGCCATCCTCAACTGCTTTCCCAGGCCACAGGCAGGGAACTGGATGGGAAGCTGGGCCGCCGAGATGACAACCGGCACCCTTATGGGATCCCGGGCATGCAAGGCCAGGACCTTAAACACTGACATCGTGCCGGGCCACTTCCTTCCTTCTCCTTTCTTTCTTCTTTCTTCTATTCTTTCTTTCTTTCTTTCTTCTTTCTTTCTTCTTTCTTCTTCTTTCTTTCTTTTTCTGAAAATCTTTACATAGTTTCTTAGGGCACAAAGGTCCAAGGGCTCCTGGAAAGCGAGTAAGAAAGTTATTTCCACTCCATGTGATATTTTCCTGTATCTGGGGAACAGGGGGAGATAAAGTGAGAGGCCCCACCCGGTCTTCCACACATCCCAGGTCCTGCATGCTCCGAGGGTCCTGCATGCTCCGAGGGTCCACACATCCCAGGCCCAGCATGCTCCGTGGGTCCTGCTCAAGTGGTTTTGATAGTTCAAGAGTTAGGAATTGCTGCCAATCTCACCATTCCAAGCAGGATGAGGTCACTGAAGACCCCTCTGATTGATCTAGTCCATCTCAGAGTCTCCGTTTGCCCTGTTTTTCAGGGATCACCTGAAAATTCTCTCCCACCCTCCCTTTCTGTAAGCCTTTATAAGCCTAGAACTTGTGATGAATGGACGGGACATTCCTCACAAACTTGTCTCTGGTGGTTCACGATCCGTGACCATGGAGCCTGTTGGCAGACTTAAACCCCAAGAGGCAGCAACTGTGGAAATCAGCATCCAGCGTTTGACAACTGAACATTGATCTACCACATGACCTGGCTGCCCCACTCCTGGGATTATCTTCCAATGAGGTCAAATTTGCATGCCACAAAGCAACTGATATCCCTGTATTTGTAGTCCAGGGTCTGCTGCTGTTGTTGGCGAAGGGGTAGCCAGAGCGGCTGCTGTTGCTGCGTGGCGGGCACAGCGGCAGGGGAGCCATCACTGTGGTCAGCAGGAACTCTACAGCTGCCGCTGAGACTAGGCCGGCTTGCTGTCACTACCGCCGCCATGCCTCAGTACAAGGGCGCTGCAAGCGAGGCAGGCTGTGCCATGCACCTGATGAAGACACTAGAGATGCAGCACAAGCAAATGGAACAGATGGAGCAGCAGATAGCAGCAGAGAACATCATAAAATGCAATGTTGACAAGAAGATCTTTACACACAACGACGCCGTGGAGGCAGAGCTCAAGTCCATCACCGTGGGTCTCGTGTCCCTGAAGGACATGAAGGCCAAGCAGGAGGCCCTAGTGAAGGAGCGAGAGAAGCAGCTGGCCAAGGAGGAGCAATCCAAGCAGCTCCAGCTCAAGCTGGACGAGCTGCGGGAGAAGGAGCACAAGGAGGCCAAGCGTAAGATCTCTGGTCTGTCCTTCGCTCTGGAGCAAGAGCAGCGAGCCATAGATGGGAAGGAACTGGAAATGGAACGGGTCACCACAAAGAGGAGGGAGTTAGGGAAGAATCCAGATGTGGATACGAGCTTCTTGCCTGAGCGAGAGCATGAGAAGCAGGAGAACCGGCTCCGGGAAGAGTTGTGACAGGAGTGGGAATCCAAGCAGGAAAAGATCAAGAGTGAGGAGGTTGGAATCACTTTTGGTTCCTGGGATGGCTGTGGGCATCGGCACACAGTCAAGGTGAAGAAATTCCTGCAGAAGGTACTCGGGGAAGGACTTCCGTGAGTTCAGGTGTGCTGGCGTGGAGCAAGCAGCCCGTGTTCATCAAGGAGGATCTGATCCTTCCCCATCATCACAGCTTCTATCAGTTCGTTGTCACCAAGGCCTGAGGAGAGAGTGGACAGCTCTTGAGCTTCGACCTGCATGATGATGTGTGGCTGCTCAGTGACGCCACCTTGGAGAAGGATGAGTCGCATGCTGGCAAGGTGGTGCTGAGGAGCTGGTGTGAGAAGAACAAGCACATTTTCCTGCCAACCGCTGGGTGCCCTGTGACGCAGAGAAGAAGTGGGATAAGTACACGATCCGCTGAGTGAGAAGCTGTGTGGATTCAGCTGCCCCCAGGCCACTGCGGACCACTCCTGCACCTTCAGAACTCCAGACATCCCCCCTGCCCTAATTCCGTTCCTTTTCCTGTTTCAATAAGCAAGGTTTCAATAATCAAGGAAAGAAAAACAGGGAGAAAAAGAATGAGAACGAACGTGTCAAAACAGTCCCATTTAACATAAGGGAGAAGCACCTTAAATACAGTGGAATAAAACCTAAACAAGGATGTGGAAGACCCAATAATGATTCAATGTTTAAAGAGGCACTAAAAGATGGAGAAATGTACCATGTTCCAGGATCAGCAGACTCAACACGCACATGTCCCTGTTACCAGAAGTCATATAGAGATTGAATGTGATCCCACTCATCATCCACTAACTCACCCTTGGCGTGGATGTGGGAAGAAAAGGATTCTAGCCTCTACACTCCTGAGAGTGGAGTTAGTGTCAGCGCAGCTGTGGGAGATCGCCCCAGCTCTCTTGCCTGCCACCTAGCGGTGTGACCCAGAGCTTATCTGCCCTGAGGCATACCTTCCATTGCTGTAGAGGGCCTGTGACCTCTGACACGATTGGAAGGTCAACGGGAGTAAGCGTGCCTTTTAGCCAATCAAAGTGTCCTTATTGGGTGAAGGGACTACCTGGAAACGCCCTCCTCCCCTGCCTTTCTGCAAGCGTTTATAAACCTTGAACTTGTGCTGAAGAGATAGGACATTCCTGACCAACGGTGAGGGCGAGCTGGGCAAGATGCCGGACGTCCTCAGCATCCTGAGACAGTACACCATCGAAAAGAAGGAGATCGTGGTCAAGGGGGACGAAGTCATCTTTGGGCCACTCTCCTGGCCAAAGAACGTCCAAACCAACTTTGTGATGTGGGCGGCTGAGAAGAAAGGCCAGCCGAGAGAGTACTACACGCTGGAATGCATCCTGTTCCTGCTGAATAACGTGCACCTTTCTCATCCCGTTTATGTCCGCCGTGCAGCTGCTGAAAATGTTCCTGTGGTCAGAAGACCGGACCGCAAAGATCTGCTTGGCTATCTCTACGGGGAGACATCAACGTGTGCAAGTATTGATAGAAGCCTCCCCCTGGAGATAGGTCTTCAGCGATGTCCTCAAGTCAAAAGAGCTGCAGATGCAGTTGTAGCAGAAGCCAAGAAACCGCGCCTTGACAATGAAGAATGCATACGTCTTGATAGAGAGAGACTGGCTGCTCGTTTGGAGGGCCATAAGGAAGGGGTCGTACAGACTGAGCGGATTAGGTCTTTGTCCGAAGACATGACGGTGGAAAAAATTGCTGCAATCAAAGCCAAAATTATGGCTAAGAAACGATCTACGATCAAGACCGACCTGGATGAAGGTACCACTGACCTTAAGCGGAGGAGCTTTGTAGATGCTGAGGCAGATGTGACCCGAGAGATCGTCAGCAGGGAGAGAGTGTGGAGGACACGCAACACGATCTTACAGAGCACAGGAAAGACTTTTGCAAAGGATATCTTTGCAATTCTTCAGGCTGTGGAGGACCGAGAAGAAGGGCGGGCACCTGAACGGCGACCAGCTCCAAATGCAGCCCCAGTGGATCCCACAGTGCGTTTGAAACAGCCTATCCCGGCCGCCTACGACAGATATGATCAGGAGAAGTTCAAAGGAAAAGAAACGGAACGCTTCAAAATCGACACTAGGGGCACCTACCGCGGTATGCCACTGAAACTGTTAGCGGAGAGTGCATCTGCCCGCAGAACACAGACACCTGCAGCACAGCCAGTACCAAGACCGCTTTCACAAGCAAGACCTCCCACGAAGCACAAGAAAACTTCTCGAACTCCCATCATCATCATTCCTGCAGCTACCACGTCTTTGATAACCATGCTGAATGTCACAGACCTTCTACAGGATTTCCAATTTGTCTCATCAGATGAAAAGAAGAAGCAGGGTTGTCGGCGAGAAGATGAAATTCTAATACAGAGAAGAAAAGAGCAAATGCAACCAGGTGGCACTGCTTACAGCAGTGTCACAGTCCCTTATAAGGTACTGGATCAGCCGCTTAAACTTAGGCCTCAAGATTGGGACCGGGTTGTGGCAGTGTTTGTGCAAGGTCCCGCTTGGCAGTTCAAAGGCTGGCCGTGGCTTTTGCCTGATGGATCACCGGTCGACATATTTGCCAAAATCAAAGCCTTCCATCTCAAGTATGAAGAAACTCGTCTGGATCCAAATGTTCAGAAATGGGACGTGACCGTGCTAGAACTCAGCCACCATAAACGTCATTTGGATAGACTCGTTTTCTTGAGGTTCTGGGACACACTGGATCGATACATGGGGAGCCATAAATCTCACTTGAGATTCTGAATGACTTGGTTCCCTCTTTTCTGGAAATCTGGATTAAGAAACCCGGATATACGTTGACACAAAGACTGAGACTCAAGCTTGATGAATTTATCAGAATCTGGCAAATGAAGAAGCTCACACATCGATATTTCTATAGAAGCAAACTTTTAGCTTCCAGCTCTTTTGTAAATATTAGCTTTCTAGTCCGTAGTGGAAATTGCATATTTTGATAGAAGTTTTCTGTTTTGGTTTGTTTGTTTGTTTGTTGTGTATTCCTCATTGGTTATATTAGCTTTACTTAAGAGTTGTTTCTTTAGAAAGTAGATGCCGGAATATAAAAGGTTGTATATTTATAGATTATAATAAAGCCTTCAAAAGCCATCTTGCTTTGATGTCTTTTATTCTTCTTCTTCAAAGAGTAGCTATCTCAGTGGAGACAAGTCTCCAATGTGTTCCTCCATTTTTGTTATTATTGTTTTTTTATTGCAAAGGGAGATATGCAGAGAGGTGAAGAGACAGAGAGGAAAATCTTCTGTCCATTGATTCACTCCCCAAGAGGCCCCAATGGCCGGAGCTAAGCTGACCCGAAACCAGGAGACTGGAGCCTCTTCCAGGTCTCCCATGTGGATGCAAGGTCCCAAAGCTTTGAGCCATCCTTGACTGCTTTCCTAGGCCACAGGCAGGGAGCTGGCTGGGAAGCGGCGCTGCTGGGACATGATCCGGTTCCCCCTGGTGGTTCTAGCACATGCAAGGTGAGGTCATTAGCCACTTTTGATTTCTTGTTTTTCTATTAATTTTTTTTAAAGATTGATTTATTTATTTACTTTTTATTGGAAAGTCAGATATACAGAGAGGAGAGACAGAGAGGAAGATCTTCTGTCCGATGATTCACTCCCCAAGTGAGCGCAACAGCTGATGCTATCCTGATCCGAAGCCAGGAGAATCTTCCAGTTCTCCAGCACGGGTGCAGGGACCCAAAGCTTTTGGCCATCCTCGACTGCTTTCCCAGGCCACAGGCAGGGAACTGGATGGGAAGCTGGGCCGCCGAGATGACAACCGGCACCCTTATGGGATCCCGGGCGTGCAAGGCCAGACCTTAAACACTGACATCGTGCCGGGCCACTTCCTTCCTACCTTTCTTTCTTTCTTTCTTTTCTTTTTTCTTTCTTTCTTTTCTTTCTTTCTTTCTTTCTTTTCTTTCTTTTCTTTCTTTCTTTCTTCTATCTTTCTTTTCTGAAAATCTTTACATAGTTTCTTAGGGGCACAAAGGTCCAAGGGCTCCATGGAAAGCGAGTAAGAAAGTTATTTCCACTCCATGTGATATTTTCCTGTATCTGGGGAACAGGGGGAGATAAAGTGAGAGGCCCCACCCGGTCTTCCACACATCCCAGGTCCTGCATGCTCCGAGGGTCCTGCTCAAGTGGTTTTGATAGTTCAAGAGTTAGGAATTGCTGCCAATCTCACCATTCCAAGCAGGATGAGGTCACTGAAGACCCCTCTGATTGATCTAGTCCATCTCAGAGACTCCGTTTGCCCTGTTTTTCAGGGATCACCTGAAAATTCTCTCCCACCCTCCCTTTCTGTAAGCCTATATAAGCCTAGAACTTGTGATGAATGGATGGGACATTCCTCACAAACTTGTCTCTGGTGGTTCACGATCCGTGACCATGGAGCCTGTTGGCAGACTTAAACCCAAGAGGCAGCAACTGTGGAAATCAGCATCCAGCGTTTGACAACTGAACATTGATCTACCACATGACCTGGCTGCCCTACTCCTGGGATTATCTTCCAATGAGGTCAAATTTGCATGCCACAAAGCAACTGATATCCCTGTATTTGTAGTCCAGGGTCTGCTGCTGTTGTTGGCGAAGGGGGTAGCCAGAGTGGCTGCTGTTGCTGCGTGGCGGGCACAGCGGCAGGGGAGCCATCACTGTGGTCAGCAGGAACTCTACAGCTGCCGCTGAGACTAGGCCGGCTTGCTGTCACTACCGCTGCCATGCCTCAGTACAAGGGCGCTGCATGCGAGGCAAGGCTGGGCCATGCACCTGATGAAGAACACTAGAGATGCAGCACAAGCAAATGGAACAGATGGAGCAGCAGATAGCAGCAGAGAACATCATAAAATGCAATGTTGACAAGAAGATCTTTACACACAACGACGCCGTGGAGGCAGAGCTCAAGTCCATCACCGTGGGTCTCGTGTCCCTGAAGGACATGAAGGCCAAGCAGGAAGGCCCTAGTGAAGGAGCGAGAGAAGCAGCTGGCCAAGGAGGAGCAATCCAAGCAGCTCCGGCTCAAGCTGGACGAGCTGCGGGAGAAGGAGCACAGGAGGCCAAGCGTAAGATCTCTGGTCTGTCCTTCACTCTGGAGCAAGAGCAGCGAGCCATAGATGGGAAGGAACTGGAAATGGAATGGGTCACCACAAAGAGGAGGGAGTTAGGGAAGAATCCAGATGTGGATACGAACTTCTTGCCTGAGCGAGAGCATGAGAAGCAGGAGAACTGGCTCCGGGAAGAGTTGTGACAGGAGTGGGAATCCAAGCAGGAAAAGATCAAGAGTGAGGAGGTTGGAATCACTTTTGGTTCCTGGGATGGCTGTGGGCATCGGCACACAGTGAAGGTGAAGAAATTCCTGCAGAAGGTACTCGGGGAAGGACTTCCGTGAGTTCAGGTGTGCTGGCGTGGAGCAAGCAGCCGTGTTCATCAAGGAGGATCTGATCCTTCCCCATCATCACAGCTTCTATCAGTTCGTTGTCACCAAGGCCTGAGGAGAGAGTGGACAGCTCTTTAACCTTCGACCTGCATGATGATGTGTGGCTGCTCAGTGACGCCACCTTGGAGAAGGATGAGTCGCATGCTGGCAAGGTGGTGCTGAGGAGCTGGTGTGAGAAGAACAAGCACATTTTCCTGCCAACCGCTGGGTGCCCTGTGACGCAGAGAAGAAGTGGGATAAGTACAACGATCCGCTGAGTGAGAAGCTGTGTGGATTCAGCTGCCCCCAGGCCACTGCGGACCACTCCTGCACCTTCAGAACTCCAGATATCCCCCCTGCCCTAATTCCGTTCCTTTTCCCGTTTCAATAAGCAAGGTTTCAATAATCAAGGAAAGAAAAACAGGGAGAAAAAGAATGAGAACGAACGTGTCAAAACAGTCCCATTTAACATAAGGGAGAAGCACCTTAAATACAGTGGAATAAAACCTAAACAAGGATGTGAAGACCCAATAATGATTCAATGTTTAAAGAGGCACTAAAAGATGGAGAAATGTACCATGTTCCAGGATCAGCAGACTCAACACGCACATGTCCCTGTTACCAGAAGTCATATAGAGATTGAATGTGATCCCACTCATCATCCACTAACTCACCTTGGCGTGGATGTGGGAAGAAAAGGATTCTAGCCTCTACACTCCTGAGAGTGGAGTTAGTGTCAGAGCAGCTGTGGGAGATCGCCCCAAGCTCTCTTGCCTGCCACCTAGCGGTGTGACCCAGAGCTTATCTGCCCTGAGGCATACCTTCCATTGCTGTAGAGGGCCTGTGACCTCTGACACGATTGGAAGGTCAACGGGAGTAGGCGTGCCTTTTAGCCAATCAAAGTGTCCTTATTGGGTGAAGGGACTACCTGGAAACGCCTCCTCCCCTGCCTTTCTGCAAGCGTTTATAAACCTTGAACTTGTGCTGAAGAGATAGGACATTCCTGACCAACGGTGAGGGCGAGCTGGGCAAGATGCCGGACGTCCTCAGCATCCTGAGACAGTACACCATCGAAAAGAAGGAGATCGTGGTCAAGGGGGATGAAGTCATCTTTGGGCCACTCTCCTGGCCAAAGAACGTCCAAACCAACTTTGTGATGTGGGCGGCTGAGAAGAAAGGCCAGCCGAGAGAGTACTACACGCTGGAATGCATCCTGTTCCTGCTGAATAACGTGCACCTTTCTCATCCCGTTTATGTCCGCCGTGCAGCTGCTGAAAATGTTCCTGTGGTCAGAAGACCGGACCGCAAAGATCTGCTTGGCTATCTCTACGGGGAGACATCAACGTGTGCAAGTATTGATAGAAGCCTCCCCTGGATAGGTCTTCAGCGATGTCCTCAAGTCAAAAGAGCTGCAGATGCAGTTGTAGCAGAAGCCAAGAAACCGCGCCTTGACAATGAAGAATGCATACGTCTTGATAGAGAGAGACTGGCTGCTCGTTTGGAGGGCATAAGGAAGGGGTCGTACAGACTGAGCGGATTGGGTCTTTGTCCGAAAGACATGACGGTGGAAAAAATTGCTGCAATCAAAGCCAAAATTATGGCTAAGAAAACGATCTACGATCAAGAACCGACCTGGATGAAGGTACCACTGACCTTAAGCGGAGGAGCTTTGTAGATGCTGAGGCAGATGTGACCCGAGAGATCGTCAGCAGGGAGAGAGTGTGGAGGACACGCAACACGATCTTACAGAGCACAGGAAAGACTTTTGCAAAGGATATCTTTGCAATTCTTCAGGCTGTGGAGGACCGAGAAGAAGGGCGGGCACCTGAACGGCGACCAGCTCCAAATGCAGCCCAGTGGATCCCACAGTGCGTTTGAAACAGCCTATCCCGGCCGCCTACGACAGATATGATCAGGAGAAGTTCAAAGGAAAAGAAACGGAACGCTTCAAAATCGACACTAGGGGCACCTACCGCGGTATGCCATTGAAACTGTTAGCGGAGAGTGCATCTGCCCGCAGAACACAGACACCTGCAGCACAGCCAGTACCAAGACCGCTTTCACAAGCAAGACCTCCCACGAAGCACAAGAAAGCTTCTCGAACCCCCATCATCATCATTCCTGCAGCTACCACGTCTTTGATAACCATGCTGAATGTCACAGACCTTCTACAGGATTTCCAATTTGTCTCATCAGATGAAAAGAAGAAGCAGGGTTGTCGGCGAGAAGATGAAATTCTAATACAGAGAAGAAAAGAGCAATGCAACCAGGTGGCACTGCTTACAGCAGTGTCACAGTCCCTTATAAGGTACTGGATCAGCCGCTTAAAC